GCTGTACAGGATTGCCCATAAAAAGATAATGGGAAAAAATTATTGTCCGGAGACCAGGAAAGCAGCGGCTTGGAGCTGGGTGCTGTCTCGTGCTCGTGTGTGCATGTTCCTGATAGCATCCACCACTTTGCTGTTACCAGAAAAAGCTTTTAAAAAATATTTTTCTTTCCCCTTAACAACTAGTGATCTGGTTGTTGCAGAAATTATATAGTCTAGAAGAAGGAATCTTTAAAGCAAAAGCTGTCAGCATCTTTATTTCATAAATAATTGCTGGTTCCTTTTATCTGTTATTTAACGCTATCATTTTTTTAATTCCTGCTTTCTGTTCTTGGTCTTATTTTTCTGTGTGTAGTTAACTGTGCTTATTGTGCTTTCCGTCAGCTCTCCCTGAACTTCTTAAAACTACTGTCACTTATTCAGTGCTGCATCTGTCAATTAGTTTTGCTATTATCTGAGAGTTACAGTCTCTGGCTAGTAATTTTTCACTCAATCTAAGAACATCAGTAAAAGAGGAGATTTCCTTTATGCTGCAGTGGAAGCACATTGATACAACGGGAGGTCGAAAGAGAAACGCTGCCAGTGTGGAGAACGTGAAGCTCTAATCGGATTTGTTTGAGTTTGGGGCAGTGGAAAGATTTCCAGTGTGCTGCTACCTGGGGATGCGGATTGCACGGTCAGACAAGCTGCAGACCCGAGTCGAGGGAGGGAATGGTTCATGGCCAATCATTAAAAAAAATAAATAAAAATCAGGGAATAGCACTTCTTAAATGAAGAATTTACCCACAAAATCTTCAAAATTTTTCTTAATACTTAGGAGTTTTAGGTCCTTTTGAGCAGTACTCTTGACCGGGTAGTGGAGGTGCTGATTCTGTTTCCCTCCATTGTAAATCTTTAGTGAATTAATTCCAGGTCCCTAAGACCCGCTCTCATCGCTTGGCAATGTGGTTTTATTTCTTGGCTTCCCCAAAGATTTTTCCTTAACATCTCTGTCCTCCAGGCTCTGCAAGAGTCTCTCACAGTCCCCAGATCCTTCTTCACTCCTTGCCCCTAACCATCAGCCTCTGATCAGTCATCCCTGGAGGTGAAGTCTCCCTGCAGGCCTCGTGTCTTCCTGGCAGCGCGGCAGCGATTCGCCGCCTCCGGCCGCTTCCCTGCGCAGCCGTGGGACGTGGGCAGGAGAGCAGCTCTGTCCAGGCAGGGCGAGGGATGCGTTTGGCTGCCTGCGATTTGCTGCCTGACATTATTGTCCTTTTGACAGAGAAAATGCCCGAGTTGACACCCTTTCCCTCTGTTTTCATGAGGCGAGTCGAAAAAAAAAATAAAATCTCATTATTCATTAAATTATCAGTTAGGTAAAAAGAACTCCATCACTTGGCTTATCCTTCCCCAGATACAGCCTGCTGGAGATAAAGGTGCTGGACACCCACAGATTTTTCTCTGATGCCTGTGTTGTGAAGTATTTGAAGAGCAGCACTCGGTATCCTGCAGGTCTTCGGAACGGGTGCTGGTTGTAGGGTGGGGGCTGTACTGACAGTCACGGAGACCCTGGAGGGTGAGATGACCCGAGACTTAGTGGCAGAGCGGTGCGTGTGTCTGTCATTCTGAATTGTTGCCTGGAAAGCTTATGGAACGTAATCCTTCTTATGATTTGGGTAGAGCATGTCTTTTAAAAAATAATATTAGAAACGTTTTTGTCAAGGGAAGTTGGTCCTTGTGAAATCCATTTTTTTCAATAAGCTGTATGTCTTAATATACATACATAAGTGCTCTCAGTCCATAGGTACTTCAAAGGAAACTTGAAATATCTATTTTTATGTCAACCTAACTGGTATCAAACTGTATTTCTTACAAGGAATGGGTTTGGGTTTTTTTTCTCTGAAAAGACAGTGGTGGATTGTCGATGAAAGCTGATGCTCTAATTTATGTGTTACGCTCCGCGAGCGTTAGAATAATACTTCTTTTAGATGTTTGGGATACTGACCTTTTCAAGTGTGGTGTTTTGTTGTTTTTTTTTTTCCCCCCTCTTGTAACTTGTAAAAATTACAATAAAAAAAAATCTTACCCATTTTCCTGGCTACGAGAGCATTTGTGTGTGACCTCGTGCTGTGCCCAGGGCGAGGAGCGGGACCGGCCCCCATCTCCCACCACCCTGCTGCTCTGCAGGGTACGGTTTTGTCCACAGCAGGCTTGCAGATGTCTTGGGTGTCCTGTTGGTGAGTAATTACAACGTTGGTAACTTCATGGAGAAGAGATTTTTTTTGTGCTATAAATTATTTTACTGCAGTATTTTCCAATAGGTTGGGGTTTTTTTTCATCATATGCTTTAAAATGCTGCTGTAATAATTCTGCTTATCTTCACTGGAACCTGGCTAACAGCATTTCTCAGTATTAATTCATATGTCTAACTTATTATAACTATATTAATCATCTATAAAAGTTTCAACTTCTGGTTTTGGATGTCTCTAGTTTTTTGCATAGCCGTGCAGTTTGGAAGAGAGAGACTGGGTGAGGAGCGGGCAGCGTAAGCCTGCTGTTGTTCCTTGTTCCCTGGTCTCGGGACCCTTTTCTTTCTCTGCAATAATTAAATTTAAAAGTTTGGAAAACATTAAACAGGGCTAAAACGTTTGGCATGGCGTTGTTGAAAATTTGTGTTGGTATATTTTCGCACTCCTCCCACAGTTGTCTTTGTGGGTTGGGATTTTGTGTTTGTGGGTTTTTTTGGTAAACAGCCAGTAGCTGGGGCCACGCCAGGGATTTTTCTTTCACTGCATTCATTGCTGTTTGTGCCACTCTTTAGTCTCTTAATTACATGACTGTAATCTTCTTTGGTTCATTGTCCAAATAGAAGTTGACTCAATTCACCGTTACTTTGCTCGGTGCTGCCGCCGTTCCGATCATGTGTAAAATAAGAGTTGGTGACTTGGGTTCAGTTCCGTAGGTGGCAGGGTTTGTTCCCCAGCCCGTGCTGCTGGGGGGCGGTGGGACGTGCAGTTTGGAGTCTCTGGAGGCGGGTGGCCTTGGGTGGCTTTGGAGCAGAGGGGCTGGGGTGTGCCTCGCCTGCTTGGAGAGGGCGCCCGTGTCCCCCGCGGCCCGTGCCTCCGCGTTTGATGCCCGCCCGGGATCTCCGTCCGTCCCACCAGGCGTGGGCTGCTCCGGCGCTTCGTCCTGTCCCCGCTGCAGGAGGGGAGGGCAGCTTATGACGGGTATTTCCAGTAAAATAGGAACCAAGACAAGCCCTTGAAAAAAAGAGAAAAGAAAAAAAAAAAAGGTGCTCCAATTGCAAATTGCTTTTAAGAAATAGAAAACTTGGAGTTGGTTTTGTTTGGTTTTTTTTGAAAAGCATGTTTGTTTATAAAATATTTCAAGCATGATTTTTTCTTTTTAGAATAACTAGAAAGTTTGGAGAATCTCATAAGAGAATCTCTTAATTAGATTTCTCTCCTTATTTAGAGAACAAAACCCAGTTTGTGTAATCTTTGAAGTATCGTCCTGATCAGCTAAATGAGTCAAGCGAAGTAGAGGAGCTGTCTGGCCTTAATCCCTTTTCGGGTATTCTGATCCAAATCAAGCCAGGGGACTCCCGGAGAACATCCTCTTCCGATGGGAAATTTAACTCGGGATCCAGATACAGCTAGAGGGGCTACCAAGAAGCTGATAGATGTTTTTTCATTGTACATAAATTAAAGCTTTTGTTTGCCTGATTAGCATTGCTTTGTCTGCTGCCACTAATGGTTTGCTTCTGAGCAGTTGGTATTTTTTTACCTTATTCGGGTCTTCGGTTAAATTAGATGATAGTGAGTTGAAAGGACATGGTGTTCGTAACTGACAGTAAATGCTCTCCTGTACACACTGCGGTGAAATTACTACGTAGCACGTGAAGTGGGTTTTGCATTTTTTTTAAAGATAGTATAGTCTGGGAAACACGGGATGTCGTAGGTGGTTGTATTATTTCTTAGTTGAGCGTGCAGTGATGTGCTACTTTTTTTTTTTTGTGGTAATATAATTTTGCTATAAAATCAAATTGCAGTTACATTTTAATTTATAAAAAAAATAGGACTCGTGTGTGTGTGTGTGTGTGTGTGTATATATTTTTTTTTTTTTTTGTGCTGCCCCACTGGGAGAGGAGTCGAGCCGGACAGCGGGGTGGGGTGATTCCCAGCCAGCGCCAGCCCTCACCTCAGCCCCTTTCTCTGTTTAGTTTACACTTTTGTGGTCTTACCTCCAAAAGTTGGGTGGTGTTTGAGTAAGTCTGGAGTAACTCTGAATAAGGAAAGGTATTGCCTGCTGCAGGGCAGCGTTCGCTTACAGCTCTGAGGGGCCGGCGGATAACCCAGGCAGCAGCGGAGACAACAGAGCCCCACGGAAAGTAAAAGGGTGGCAGGTACCAGCTCTGGGCAAACACCGTGGCAGAACTTCCAGGAGACAAAACATTAAGATGCTTCTAATGGAAAATTCTCATCAGCAGGCTGCAGAGGTCATGCTTTAAATTACTTGCAAAGGAGCTCTAAAGATTCTGTTGTAATTTATTGTGCTATAAAACCTATTAGAGTAACATTAACCAGTAATTCTAAAATTGGAATGCAGAAGAGGTCGCTTTTTGTCAATAAAAAGTAGGTAAATCGATTTCAAAAAATGAAAACACATGGATAGTATCTAGCTTTACTCTTGACAGAAGAAAGAAAACCTGATCCATGAAGAGGAAGGGGATGTTCTGGTGCATTATGTAAACATCTCGTAAAATTCTCAGCAGGTAGAAATTGGAATATGTTTAATAAATCTTGGTGAGGTGAGGTGAGTGAGGTTTATAATCCTCCTCTGCTCAGAATGCTGTGGAGCTGTGGGTAATCGGTGTTGTTGAGCTGAGTTAGAGCTACTCACACAGCTACGTACCGTCCGTGATGGTCCCCGCGTGGTTTGTGTCCCTTCTTACTCCTTACCAGAGCAATGATACTTCTTTTTTTTTTTCTGATTTTTTTTCTGTTTTCCTTTTTTCTTCCCAGGATTTTTGCTTTTCAAAGACTATTGCATGAACGAGATTGATGAAGCTGTCCCTCAACTGAAGTTTTATGAAGAGGTAAGTGGCTGTTGGTGGCTTTTGGGGGCAGGAGGGCGTGCAGGGGTGCATGTTTGGTGTCATCCAGCTTCGTGGTGGAAGGGTTGATTCATAAGGACAGTGTTTTATATAGTAGTGCTGGCATCTCAAAGGCACAAAGCTATCATTTTAAACACGTTCAGGAGACTTTTAACAACAGCAATGCAGCTGTTTAATCAGGTTGGTCATTTGGTACAACATGTTTTCATGAGAGTAGTGCAGATTTCTTTGCCCTCTTACCGAGCAAATACTTAGGATTCAGAAAACTGAGTATTTGCAGGAAAAATCTACTTAGCTCAACTTCTGACAGTGCTTTTATTTGTATATGCTGAAACTTTTTATTAAACATAAGCTGACAAAGCATTATAAAAGCTACTGTTACAGTTTCTGTCCTTCAGGGGTAAAGCATGTTTAGATTTGAGGCATAATATGTTGAAAACAAAACAACAGCAGAAAGTTGCCTGAGCAGCCACCTAGTCAAGTGCTCGGTTCACCACATTCATGTGTCAGACAGTAACTTGGAAAATACTGAGAGAATGATGGAAAGGGGGAGAATTCTAATAGAGATGAAAATATCTTTAGGTTGATCAGTCTTTATTGTCGTAAGGTACACGCTTTGGCTGTGGTTCGTTTGAAACGAGTTGGAGTTAGGTTCATCTCACTCTCTACTTGTTCAGTATCTCTGAAGTTATAAGCTGGGTATGTTCTTGCAAAATGGGATAAGCCTTTGATCTTCACTTGTGAAGACAATGACAAGTCTTAGTTCTGTCGCAAACCAGAGGTGAAGTTAAAGTAGGTAACATTTTGCCAGCTCGCGGGAGAATTACAGCAGTGGGTTGCTTCTTTCAAAAGACCTGAAAGCAAAGCCAGAGCTTCTTATTCCTGTAGCGGGCGTGGGACCTGGATTCACGGCTGTTGCACAGAGTGAAGCTTCTCCTTAGAGGCAGAAAGCCTGAACTAAACCAGAGCACCTTGGAGTGTCCCAGAGGAGCAGAGCGGAGCGTGGCCCCGCGGAGCACCCTGCCCTTTGTCCCTGGCGTGGCTGCCAGCTGGTGCTGTGGGAATCGTGGTGGCTTCTGGCTCGGCTCTGTGTCACCCCCTGAGGAGGCACCGTGGCTGCTCCTCCGCTCCCTGAAGCTTTCCCCGCGCCCTCCGTGCCCCCTCACGCCGCCCAGGCAGAGCCCCGGGCCCCGTTTGCAGCTGATGCTGAGCAGCTGCCCGGGCTCCTGGGAAAGGAGATGGGGCTGCAGGTCCCGTGTCTGGATTTCCTGCGTCTCCCTGTGGATCAGACGGCAGAGCGGAGCTGTGCTGGCGCTGCGTGAGGCTCCCGGGGGCGCTGGGGACTTGCAGGGGCAGGGTTGCAGCAAAGCCCCCCCCGGGCACTGCGGAGGGGTGAGAGGAGCCCCCGGAGAGCGATACCAGGGGTGGCTTTAGATCGACCAGGGCAGTGGTTCTCTGTTGTCACCAGATAATCGATGGAGACACTAACAGACGTCGTGCCCGAGGCAGGCATGTGTGCCGAGGATCAATAACGGGGGGGCACCGGGGCCCTCCTCAGCCCTGCTCTGCCGGGGAAACCCGAGGAGTCTCATGGCTCCATTCATTCCGCGTTATATTTGTGACACTCTAAATATAAAACTGGAGCTAATCCTATCATAGGTGCTGCTTTCAGTTGGAACATGCACACGTGCTTTTAAAATGCAGCCTGTCTTGCTCAGTGTTAATTGGAAATGCAGCCTGAGATAACCTCGTCTCTGGATTACTCTTAAGCTGATGATTTAAAATTTTTTCGTGCTGGTGGGCTAACAGCACGCAGGTAGGCTAAGCTGGTTATCAGTTTGGAGATAAATCCTTAGCAATATACGGTTCCCCCACTCAAATTAGATGCTCGCTGTCAATTAAGAAGAATCTTTTTTTCTGTCGTTTCCATCTTTTCATATACTGAAGATATCGCTGTCATAAGTAATCGAAAAGGCGTGTTGTAACAGATTGTTTAGGAAGATTATTTTTAGCTGCCTTTTTATCTCTGAAACAATTTGAAATTGTATTTTTAGGTTATTAGCAAAGCATTGCCTAAAAAGAATTTAAATGCTTTGTCATGCACTTTTTGAAAAATCCCGTTAAAGATATTTAAAGAGAAGCGCGTTGCGTTTTCTTCTGTGACACACTAGATTCAAAAGCTTTCCTTTTTATTTTTATACATTTGATTTACTTACTGCATTTATTACATGTAGAATAATTTGGGTACGTTGCTACATTAAAACTTGCTTGATGTAGAAGCGCTCCGTACTCCAGGGATTTCATATTACTGCAGCTTAAGTCACGATCAGGCACTTAACCGGTCGAGTGATTCATCCAGATCGGTTTCAAAAAAAAAAAAAAAAAAAAAAAAAAAGGAAAAAAAATGAAAATTTCTAGGTGCTTGAAAACTAATGCGTTCTGATTTCAGTTTTTGAAAAGATACTTTGTCAGACACTTTTCTTGAGGTGAGCTGAAGTTTGCCGGGGAAGCGTTGAAATACGTGGTGCCACAGTCTGTTATCTCTGGGTCAGGAGCAGCGCTGCAGCTGGCAGAGGCAGGTTACGGGTGTAAGTGGTGACACCCCTAGCTCTGCCTGGTCCTGTATTTTTTTTTTTTGGCACGGTACAGTACTGTTCTATTTAATAAACATGTAAAATTAGCCCGTGGATAAGTCAGGCACGCGTGTCAGATGTGATCAGAGCAGGGCTGTCTCATCGCGTCACCGGGGTGCTGAGAGGCAGCGGGTGTGGGGGGGCAGGCTGAGCCACCCAGGGGGTTGGTGCCCATGGGGACTTGTGTCACCTGCTGTCCTCTTCTCCAACCCTTGACAAAACAAAAGGGCTTTGCTTAGAAACCCCACTGCAAGGACAGGGGGGAGAGGGACTGACCTGGCACCAGTGTGGCTGGTGGGGGGGGCTGTTGCAAGAGACCCCTCTGCTTTGAGTGCAAATTGAGGTGGTTTAATAAAATAAATGCTGAAGGGCAGGATGTGGCATTCAAGTAAGACAGTATGATACGAATCAGGCTTTCTCCTGTACTTCTAATTATTTTGCAGCATTTCATTAATTAAAAAATGTTTCTTTGGCAAAGATGTCCTGAATCATTTTAATTATAAATTGGTACCAAGGGGGGGAAGTAGTCACAGATGGCAAAGCATGGTGGAAGCGTTGCCTTACCGTAGTCAGCAAACGAGAGGGCTGCAGCTAGAAAAATACCAACTTTAATTACGATGTTGCACAGTCAAGGGTAGATTGGGTCGGAGTTTGTCACCTGGAGACCTGTTGCAGAATGGAGAAGTGCAGCCTGGCCTCTGAATGAAGGAAAATAATATAGTGTATTGTGACATAGAGGCTAAACACTTTTTTTTTTTAAAAAAAAGAATTTCTTTACTTCTGGAAGTCCTCAGCAGCGTGCTGCGTGTTGGCGCCGGCGCTGCCCTGCGTGGCTGGCAGGAACAGCGGAGCCGCCTGTTCCATCCCCGCAGGCCCAGCCTGGACGCGCTCCCCGCCCCGGGAGGAGGTGCTGGTTTCCTCAGGCTTTACTCCTTCCCCTGACAGTACAGACAGCTCCGATACGGCCTGTTCCTGCCCGGGCAGGCGCTGAATCCGATCCAGCTGGGTCATCCTCTGCTTCGGTTTCCTGGAGGCGGCGGCGGGCCGGGAGCCAGCCTGCACGCTGACATTGCTTTGCATCCTGCGACCTCTCAGGCTGGTGCTGGGGAGGTCCAGCAGTGAGAGCTGAGTCTTTTCTCTACAGATCCTGGGCAGGTTTTTTTACATTCTGACAGTCCTGTATGAACTTTCCCTAAATACACTCCAAAGGATCCTTGAACTTGGTGAGGTTTTTTCTTCTGGAACCAATTTTCTGGCTTTGCTCTGTAAATTAGCCATACGGGATGGCTGGTGCTTCGCCTGGACCACACTGACCTCCTCTATCCCACCTGAAGGAACTTGATCTGTGTTGTGAAACTGTCTTTCTAGCCAGCTTTAGGATTTAAATTCAACATGCAGCTGAACTGCGTGAACATCTTGAAATGTGTTTTACGTTCCTGCTCGGACGTTGGTACTTGGACCGGGCTTGGGCTGGCAGCCACGGGCTAGCACCAGCCAAGGCTTGTGCTGCCTCTGCGATACCAGAACCCTTCTGCTAGCCCAGGGAGCTGGGAAAAGGGCACGTGCTGCTGTGCTGCAGGTAGTCCAGAGCATCGAGTGAAATAATCTGAGAGGAGGTCAGTGCTCTCAAGTGTTAGCGGCGCGGGGTCAGTGCTCCCCGTCCGGGAGCTGAGCAGAGGGGGAGAAAATCTTCAGAAACATCGCTGTGCACGCGGGCTCGTCTCACACCCCCTGCACGCCCGGCCCTCTCGCTCAGTCACCTTCTGGCTTCCCCTGCACAGAGCCGTGCTCTGGCAAACAGTAGATGGAAAACGTGCTGCCTCAGCTCCGTCCTTTTCAGACTTTAGAAGACAAAGCTTTGTAGCAGTTTTAAGCAAATCAGCTTCCCTGCATAAAAATTCAAGGATAAAGAGGGAAATCTAGGCTCAACTGTGGCTGCTTTTAAGTCTTCATTAAGAAAATAAAGTAAAATAAAACCTCGGCCAAAGCCTTGTTTTTACCAAAGGAGTGAAAAGTCATTAGAAGCGTGCTCACCTAATGGACCCTTCTCTCTTGTATTGCAGATAAAAGAATACGAGAAACTGGATTCCGAGGATGAGCGTCTGACCCGCAGTCGGCAGATTTACGACACGTACATCATGAAGGAGCTCCTGTCCTGTTCACACGTGCGTATCCTCCAGAGCTCACGCTGCTCTTGGCCTTCCTTCAGTAACTTGACAGCAGCGATAATCCAAAAGAGCTTCAGTTTCACTCGGAGAACAATTAAGACTGTTGCTGAAGGAATCGTTACCACAAATACTTGTAGCCCTGCGGATTTCCGTTGGAATTCAGCATGTTTGTGGGTTGTTTTTTGTTTTTTTTTTTTTCAGCAGTGAGATGTAACGATGGGTGCTGCGTGCCTGTTGTTCTTAAGCTTGGTGGTACGCAAAGGAAATACTTGGAGGTTTAGCTGTTTTGTATTATTTTAAATATTTTAAAATACGCTGAGCGCAGCCTGTGTGTGTGTATACGTGCATGGGTATACGTACATTAACCAACCCCCTCCAGCCCAGCACAACCCGGCCCCCAAAAACTCAAAGCAATGTGAGCTGCCGGGGGCTCTGCGGGACCGTTCGGGTGCTGAACTTCGGTGTCTCTGAAAGCTCAGAGTAAAGTTTGAGGTTTTGTCCAAAACGGATGGCGCAAGGATTTTATTTTATGCTTTGTTTGGTGCAGAGCAGTCTCCCATGCCGTGCTGGGGACAGTGCCCTTTTTAGACGCAGTGGGAGTTGAGGGCGTGGGGCTGTGTTGTGGCAGACGCAGCTTTGTTGAAGTCGGTGAAAACGCCCGTTTCCTCCAGCTGAAGTTTCGGCCCATCGATCTGTGCTGAACCGTTTCCTTTGCTCTTACTTTAAATACTAATTTTCAGTGTTTTACCCTAGCGCCACGGTTCTTTGGGTGAAGGGTTCAAGCGCTTTTTTGTGAAACGTGCAGCATTGGCTCTGTAACAAACCCATGTCTGCTGCTGTCTCTGGAGCTGTCCCCGAGATGAGATTTTCCCTGAGCATCATCCCGCCCCTTTTACCTTCACCTTTGTCCTCCTCATCTTCCCCTCTCCCGCCTTCCTGCTTCAGTGGAACTGTTCTAGTGCATCACTGTGCCTGTGGTGCCCTCGCCCTGGGGGCGGGGGGGGGGGGGGGGGGGGGTTTGCGTGTGGTTAAAAGAACAACAGTGCTCGAGACCTTAAATGAAACCTTGCCGACTGTTTGAAACCTTTCTTTTTCTTTTCCAAAAGCCTTTCTCAAAACAAGCTGTAGATCACGTACAAATGCATTTAGCCAAGAAACAAGTGCCAGCCAGCCTTTTCCAGGTGAGGTTAAGACAGTCTGTATGTTCAAGTTTTCTTCACTTATTTGACAGTAAGTGACTCTGTACGTGCTATTTTAGGAGACAGAATAAATGGTACTGGTACATATTCTTCGCTGTAATAGTGGTATCAGAAAGCTCTTCGAAGTCAAATAAAAATTACAAATTACTATTCTTATCGGGAATATTTTAAAGCACGTTTATGAAAGCAAACTATGCCCTGGCATATGAATTTACGTAATTTCAAGCCATTAAATGATGTAGAGTAAATCGCTTTACATCAGAGGGATACACATCCTGTCAGGATAAACCGAACTGCACCGTGGAGAAGTTGCTTTAATGTTTTAGTCATGTGAAATCTTTTGTATTTCTCCTTTTTTTTTTTTTTTTTTTTTTAATTTTAAGATATTTAAGATATTTAAGATTAATTCCTAGTTGATGATGGTGTGGAGTGAAGCATTGGTACCATCTCGCGTGTTCTTCTGTCTCTCCACAAGATAAAATCCGATCAAAAGTTGCCTGTCCAAACAGGAGTTTCTGTACCGTGAAAATTGTGGTGCTTTTTTTTAAACTTTTCTAAAACTCTGAATTGTTCAAAGCAAGTATGGGATTTGCATATCTTCCATTTAAAAATAGATGGTATCCTGGCTCAGTTGTGAAGCTTTTGTGTTCTTATTTACTTTAGAAAATGAAGAAATGAGAACTGAAGTATTTCTTGTATTGTCACAACTCTAATATGCATTGATATAAGCTGAGAAATTCAGATATCTGTTAACCTCTCTAGCTAAGTGCATTAAAGCAGTGTGGTTTTCCACGTGGTGAACCTCGCCAATCATGGGAGCGTTCATAAGCTTAAATTTCATGGATGTAAGCCTTACCTATGTTTCTATATCGCAAAAAACGTGACGATTGCTTCCACGTAACCTCTCTTACTGCTCAGGGAGCTGGTGCGAACGCTGCAGTCAGGGGAACCTCCCGCTTGGTGACTACACGGCTTGAGTTACACCTGGTCGGTGATGGGGTTGGGGTGTGAGATCGCTGTGTGCCGTCCCACCTCAAGAGAAAATGCTGCTCTAGAGAAAGGCACTTGTGAATGGAAGGTGCTGCCTTCTCAGTAAGGACAGAGGGGAGCACCAAAAAAAGATAAAGCCTGGCAGCAGCTCTGGGAAGTACAGACTCCACTGGAGCGACCGTGTATTTTATTTAAATATCCGTGATACAAATTTATTTAAATATATTTGATAAAAATACTGTCATTTTTGTTTGGCCAAATAGTGTTGACCGTAGGCAGGTGCTACACAGGTTTCATACATCCTCCCCCCAAGGAAAAACATTCAAGGTTTTCTAGCTCATGCAAATATTTTATGTTTAACTTCAGGGCACTTGCTCAGATTCCTAAAGCTAAATGAAGCTTAGATGCTTCACTGAGCCTTCTTCAAGGAAAACACAGTAAATACCAGTGTGAGTTCTATGTAATGGGTAGTACTGTGGGTTTATTGTGTGCTCAAATACTAATTGTGTTTCTTAACCCTTTCTAGCCATATATAGAAGAAATCTGTGATAGTCTCCGAGGAAAAATATTTCAAAAATTTATGGAAAGGTATGAACTTGACATATTATCTGAATTTTCTTCTTAATGCATGAGGAAGCCAGGTCCCTTAAGTATTGCTGTAAAAGGAAGCTAAAAATGTTTAGTAAACTTTGTTTAATTAATAGTGGTACCAGCAAGCTTCTGCAGATGACTAGCTTTATTGTATATCGTGAGTAATGTCAGGATGTATGAGTGGAAAAATTGTCAAGTTGATGGATTTTACTGTTGCTCTTCATAGTAATAGGTTGTAGTTTGTCCTTAAAGCTGAAAAAAAAAAAAAAAGCAGAACTATGTTCTCATGGGATGTTTTGACGTGTAACTGTCTCTTGCGTGTGACCAAAGGACGCGGTCGTTCTGGTTTGTATCTGGACACCTTGCAGTTAAGGAGAAAAGATCTAGAGTAGGAGGCACGGAGCGAGTTCAGTGGAGCAGCCCCCGTAACCCGAGGGGCACTGCTCGTGTGTGCCGGGCAGGTACACGGTGTGAAGTGCTACCTGGAGGTCTGCAAGTGGTTGTAAAAGTGACTCCGTAGAGCTGACGTTTCTTACTCTGAAAATAAATGCTTAATTATTTATGTAGAAAGGAGAAACTATTCTTTTGGCAGCAGCTTGTGGTATTATTGATGTTTTTCCTATTTTAAGATAAAATGATCCTTGGAGTATATGGAGGGTCATTAACGTAAATCGAGCTGCTCCTGTTTTTTCTTATCATTATCTTCCTCTTTATGTAATTTAAATGTTTGTTAGTTCCAAAGTTAGTTGCTTTTAAAAATTAAAAACCGTCTGAAAGAGCTGAGGACATACTGAGCAATTTAAAATTACAGGGATGAAGTTACCCCCCATCTTTCTCTTACAGGGATGTAAAACTTTCAGGTTGCACTGTCCAGCAATTGTTTTTCCCTGTAGGAGTAAGGTCATGATTGTTTGAAACTAAATATCACAACACACCCTAGTGCAAATGTTGTTTGAAGTATCAAAGTCTTGATGCTCTCTGTAGTGTTTTACACAGTATTCTCAGACAACTTTTAAACTTTTTTTTTTTTTCCCCGCAGCGACAAGTTCACTAGATTTTGTCAATGGAAAAACGTAGAACTAAATATTCATGTAAGTATTTACAAGTAGATTAACCTTGTCAAAGGCTGATGCGGGAAAGAAAATGTTTGGTTTTGAATAGTGCTTCTGAAAAGGCCTTATTACAGACTGTGGTGAATGTTACTGATGTGCTCTTCTATTCTTAGAGGCACGGCCCTAACGACTCCTTTCTGGATGTCCCTACAGCCGGTCTTGAGCTTTTCGATTTTTATAATAGCTGGAAGAAACCCAACTGCCAGAATTGCTGCTCTGCAACAGCCCCAGATTCCCTCCGTCTCCCTTTTCCCACCACGGTTCTGACGTTGTCCCCAGCCCCGCTTAGCTCTGCCTCCCCTTCTGTCCCTCCGCCCGGCGCTGTCACAGCTGGGGCCGTAGCAGAGCCCCCCCTCCCTGCGGGCTGCCTTACGAATGAGCCTGTCAGGCTTTGGCAACAACAGTCCCATTCGTCTTGCCTGTACTTCAGACTGTAGTGCTTGCAAGGACGGTGAAATATAAGCAGTAAGGGGCTCCTTTTTCCAAAACAGTAAAGGCTGGATGAGTTACAATAGTTACGTATCGTACCACGTTAATAATTACTTATTTTCACAGTGAGTTTTTGAATGCTGAAAAATGAAGCCTGCTTTTGTTTTGTTTTGTTTTTTTTCCTTTACAGCTGACTATGAATGATTTTAGTGTACATAGAATAATAGGAAGAGGGGGATTCGGTGAAGTGTACGGTTGCAGAAAAGCAGACACTGGAAAAATGTGAGTATATACGCACTTTATTTTAGAGGCAATTGTAAACTCTGAACTAGTAAGGAAATCCTTGCAGTCATTTCTTACAAAATCACCGTAGCAGTGTCACGTTACTCCGTAGTCCTTTGTGATTAAATTTTATGCCAAGAGGTTCTGATTTCTGGGTCATCTTTAAGCTTAGTTTAATACTTGATCCTGTTGCGTGCCATGCAGTGGGGCTTCAGTCTAGCAGAGCTCTTAAGCACATCCTTCATTTAAATGATCTTGTCAAAATTAATGGAAACTGCGCATGAGTTTAAAATTAAGTATGTGCTTAAATGACTCCCTGGATCAGAGCCTGGAGCAGAGTGCTGTTCTTGTGGGAGCCTGGGGATGGTGTCAGGCGTTGCCTCTCGGCCGCTCGAGGTTGATGTCTCGCAGCAGAGCGCGGGGCCGGAGCTGCCCTGGGGCCGGAGGAGCGGGGCCTCGGCGCTGCCGCCTCTGCAGGAGCAGATCCTGAGCGGGCCGTTGTGGGTTGGTGTCACTGTGTCCGCTCCTGCTCCTCAGCACGTCACAGCGGTCCTCGCTTCCCTTCGAAAGGGCACAGCTCCGGTGCTGGACTTGGCTTTAGCAGGACTCTCGGTGGGAACTCCAGGGTCACCCCTGTGTGGGGTTTTTGGTCTTTTTCTGGTCTTACCATTGACACGCTTCTCCTGATCATCAGATTTCAGGTCCTAGGCATAATTTTCCCATCGTGTTCCGTTTTGAACATCTGGGCATTGATTTAACAAATCGTTCTCAATATCTTACCTATTTACTTATTTACAGCCCACTCCACCCCTTTCATCTTTTTTTTTTTTTTTTTTTTTTTTTAACATTTTTAGTCCAGGGACCATCCTTAAACATTTCTCTTCCAAGGAAGCATGGCATGTTTGACGTGCCAAGTCTCTGCGGTTACAGCTGGCTTCACTGGCAGTTGTGTGTGCTTGGCATCCTTGATAATAATAAACTTCTGAGCTATTAACAAGTGGAAGACATCTTAATGTTGCTATCACGCTTAGTATTTTTGCAGTGACTTCAAGTATTTATAATAATACTGTTACTAACAGTACTGTCTTTATTCTTGCTTTGGTGCTTTTTTGTCCATGTACAATCTGTTAATTTGTCCATGTACAAAAACGAACCTTTTATTTAGCTTGAGCCCCGCTAAGTAGGTGCCCACCCTGAAGAGGTAGTTCTCAGGTTCTCAGTCATTTTCATGCCTGAGTTTTGCTCTGGCAGGAGTTGGATAAACCTTGGGACTAGAAAGTGAAGCAAAGGGCAGTTTTTATCAGATATAAATAGAGTAAAAGGAAGTGGAAGGTGGGAGAACCAGCCTTTTTCAAAAGTGAAGCAAAACTTTAGACTAGGTTCAGTTTCTGGGTAGAGGTTTGGTTTAGTTCTTTCTTAATCCAAACCTGTTTACCCATCCCTAATCCAGATCCCGTCCACTCTAGATGGCTGCCTCTGCTGCACTTACTGCCTGCAAGGAGCTTGGGAAGCCACCCCTCGAAGGTAAATGCCATCGGTGTTTCACTAACCCTCAAAGACACACCTGAGGCTTCTTTCACATCACCTCCCTTGAGGACATCTAAATAGGGGCCAGAAGTGTGATGCAGGAAGCAGGCCAAAGGGGGAAGGGTAGCAGCTCTCTCCGAGCTCACAACTCGACAGGAAAATGAGACCCTTGATTTCAGTCAGCCTCAGATGGCCCCAGTCGTTCACTTCGATCAGGGACGGCGAAGCAGAAATAAAGGGTAGCGTGAGAAATGTTATTTATAGTCATCGTTTACAGACTCCTCAGCCAGAGCACGTGCTGCGAGTGTATTCCTTGTGACGGAACCTTAAAACTCCAGTGTGTTCACGCTCCCTCTTCCCCCACTCCCACCGCATGCATGGCAAGGACTGACGCGGCGTTTGCAGGGAGAGCAGAGGGAAGGAGATCCGAGGCGCCGTGTCCGTGCGGAGCTGGCGCCGTGCGGGCAGCTGATCCACAGCGAGGCAGTGCTCTTTCCTGAGCCTGTGGTAAAACCAGGGGCCTAAAAAAATCCACGGTTGCCCGTTGTCTAGAAATCTTCTATGGAGGAACACACGTGTCCTTCGCAGCTGCTGTCTAACAGTAGGCTCACCTCCCGTCTTGAAAAATACCCAGACTCTGTTATATCCTATCTGGTTTGAAGGTGGTTAGGGTAACGTTCTTTTCTGAGCAAAATTTTTATTAATTTGTATAATACAGATGGCAGAAGATTAAAAAAGCTTTCTCGTGTATATCTGACCTTTTTATGAGTAGAAAGAAAACCTTTAAAAACATCCATATATAAAACTCAGCGTGTGTTCAAGATATTGCTTTCCTGGTGGTAGAGTTGAAACTGTTAGAATTAAGTGGAATGGTAATACACTCTGTTATTTAATTCATACTGCAAATCCTTGCTTGTAGGTATTAAAAAACCCTGTGTATGGTGTGTAATTCCTGTATCACTGTGGTTGGTTGGACACAGAATTACTCATTAAAGCACATTTCTCTGTCGGGGGGCTTCTGTTGAAAACGTTTTAATTCTGTGAGATTCGGAGGTTTTCTTGTTTAGTTGCGTAATGATGTTTTTAGTGCTGGGTTTAAGTCTTTAAAGAGCTTGCTTACAGGATACTGTAAATGTGCACGGCCTAACTGTTAGTGATTAATACTGAGTCTAGGAGGAAATCTTTTCTGGTGCTTTTTCTGAATGGTTAATATTTTCAGGTATGCAATGAAATGTTTAGATAAGAAGAGAATCAAGATGAAGCAAGGAGAAACATTAGCCTTAAATGAAAGAATTATGCTGTCTCTTGTCAGTACAGGAGTAAGTATCATTGATTTGTTATTCTTTTTTTTTTTTATTGCACATAATATAAAAGCTGTTACATCGAGTACATATTTTTATTGCATATAATATAAAAGCTGTTACATATAATACATATTCCATCAATTCAGTTGGGTGACATGCAAAAGCTAAACTCCCCTGGAACCTCCCTCCTGATTCTAGCAATGTGTCTGATATAAAATGGAAAAGCAAGCTTGCTTTTCAGTTTGGGTACTTACAGAAATGAGCATCTCGGCTGAAGAGGCTTGAGGACGTTCCCGTTTTTTAAGTAATTAATTCTGTCCCCCCCTTCTGATTTTTTTTAAATATTCCTTTTTCCAGTGTTTGTATTTGAAACTTTTCCAAAACATTGTTCTGTCTCATAAAAAAAATTAAAAATCCTTTTCTGCTATAGTTACTTATTACTTTTGTAGAACATAAGGTGCTATTTCAGAAAGCCCTTCGGTTACCTGTTTGTCCTCCTGTTCCTGTGCCTGCTCTGTGATGCTGACTCTGCTTACCCCGTTTTTCCGTTTTATTTATGTACTTTAGCTGAGCACCTCTCAAGGTGCACCAAGTCTGCCCGTCTAGCGTATTTAAAATTAGAAGTATCACTGGTGTGCATAAAAAGCAACCCCGTGGGCGCTGGTTTCACCGGAGCGTGTCTTGTGCCCTGTGGAAGAGAAGCTCGGTGGTGGCTGCAGTAGGCTGGGCTCAGAGCAGGCTTTGGTGGGCCAGAGCCTTCCCAGTAGGCCGGCCTCGTTAAACAGAACTTGAAATCGGCTCTATCGCCATGGTTACGTGTGATGCTGGTAAAAAGGTTAATTTTCCTCATGACTACCGCGGTGTACGAATTAAACATTCGGTTTGCAGCTCGGTGTAAACATCCCCTTTTCCCAGCACACTGAAGCATGGGAAGGAGTTGCCTGTGATTCTGTTCTGGGCTTGCCCAACGGGAGTGCAAACAGCATCATATCTGCAGTGCAGGAGGATTACTGCCTTGGCTCGCAAGATGGCAGAGAGCGAATAGGGAGCTTTAGTCTCAGAGACAAGATCTGTATCTTGCAGAGATTAGGTAAACCCCTGGTTCAGGTTCTACATTACCCAGGTGATTTCTTTTTGGAAAAAAAAAAAAAACCAACCAAACAAACACCACCTCACTTGTGCTGCATTTCGCATCACTGTGTCCTTGAGGTGCACATGCAGCATTCCCGCTGCCTTCTGTTGAGGGGACCCTCAGCCTGTGGGGGTTCAGGATGGGCCCTGCTGGCCCGCAGGTAGCCACGGGAGGACAGCCTCCCCTTGTCTTCTGCAAACTGGGCTTTGAAAGTGGAGCCTCACAGGTAATTACAGAATTCCCCTTGCTAAACAGTCTCTTCTGTTGTCAAGTGAATCGGGCAACTCTTGGTACTTCTCAGCCTCCCGGAGTCATGTGAGGTGCTCTCTTGTGCAGGCTGACAGAACAGCAGAGCCGACTGCGCTTTGGTCCCTGGAAGAGCGAGCAGCTTTTTCAGCTTTTCTTGCTACCCATCAGGTCATCTTCCTCTGCTGTTAGAAATACCCCAGTAAGGCAAATCCTACACCGGAAACCAGGGAAGCTCTGCGTCAAGGTGGCATCCTAAGGTTGAACTTGCTCCTCGCTGCAGAGCTCTGAAGGAAAGACGAGGTGTTTCTTGTTGTGCCTTTCATCAGAAACTCCTGCCCTGCCTCGGCCTCTCTCCGCAGGACGGGCGCGCACGGAGGTGAAAAATCAGGGAATTGCCCTTAACACAGAGTTGCGTTCACGTTTGGCTTGAACATAAAGATAGACGAAGGACGGGGAAGTATTTCTTTGTTCTTCTGTCTGTGGAGTTAACAGTGGAGATTTATCAGTTAGACTTTTTAATCAAGTTAACTGTTTTCACCCAAGATAAATTGTGCCTTGTCCAGGAGTGTCAGGAGTCCTGAGAGCCAGTGGGGTGAAGTTCTGTAGCGGAGACTAGACACGAAATCTAGGCAAATTAGTAATAATTGTCCCATTAACTTCAATTTGTGATTCTGTTGCTCCAGTACTGAATGTGAATTTTCATGTCTAGTGATTCAATAAGAAAATTGTTCACAAGGCTGCTAATGGTGGAGCTAGTCACAGCTAGTCATTCTGCAGCAGCAAAGCAAGACAAAGCATTTGGGGTTTTTTTTGCTAAGGATTACCAACTCATTAGAGTGTGACTTCTTGAGATTGTCAGAAATTTGAAAGAGAACTTGAAAAGAGAGATTTTGTACCAAATGCTGCCCAGTCGGGTTCGCTACACCTGCTGTTGCAAGAGATGCTGGAGCGTTTTGAATATGCAGAATTAAATGGGTTTGGAAGCGGTAGAATCAGATAATTCATTGAGTTCCCGACTGTAAGCTGTTAGGTCTGAATGGCACGTGCCTTCCCCGCTGAGAGGGTTTGTGTGCTGCCCGGAACGGAGTGGAACTGGGAAGTTCATCAGAGTGCAATTAGTCATTTAACTGGGAATCCAGATGTCTCTGCAAAATACATAATAACAGCTGTGCAGATTACACGTACGTTTGTGTAATCATTTTTGTTAATCCACCTCAAATTTTGGCATTCACAACTGCTCCTCGGTTAAGGAGCTCCCAAATTTGAGAACATCGTGGCCGGGTTGGGGGGAGGTTTTTTTTCACGTTTTTGAGTCAGGTCAGAGGGACAACAGGCACCTCTGCGGGGCACGGGGAACTGCTTGGGGTGGCCTGATAATACAAAATGTGTTACTCCGATTTTTCCATGGGTTTGTTTGCTTGGTCAGTGACCGTTGGTGTGACGCGTTGCTGAGGTTTGTCTTTCCTCTTTTGGAAGACTCAGGCCCTGTCTTGCTCTCTCCCACGGAGGTGTTCACTCTGGAGGCTGGAAATGCACTGTGAAATTCTGAGAAGATAACATAGTAGGGAAAATATTTTACTTTCTGTTGAAAGAAAAAAAAATATTTATCTTCTGTAATAGCCATATTTGCCTAACATTGAAAAACTGGAACATTGAAATCACCGGGAGCATCGCCGCTGGTGGACTGTATAAAACCAATCTGCCAGAAGATGCTGGTTTGGAAGGAAGGGGTTATTTAATAAATCCTTCTCCTGGCGGGTGGGAGGTGGTCATTCCGGCAGGCTGCTCAAGACAGGGCTCTAGCTCTGCTCTGCTGTGTCTGCGAGTTCTCCCATCCTGAAATCATTAGGCAGTTAGGCTGGTTTGCTCAGCTCTTTTTGAGATCATTTGACTAAATACTGGATTCAGGATTCCCTCAAAGGATGGTGAATGTAAGGAACGGCAAAAGTGGGCAGACTAAGCAACAAAACATCTGAGATCGATAATCAAACTTTTTTTTTTTTTTTTTTTTTTTTTTTTTTTTTTTCTGAGAACAGGTACTTTGTTTTCATGTTCTCATGTGTACTGAGATTTGTAGGAGTCTCAGTTTTGCTCAAAAAATGGAAACTATTCCCAAATCTTGATGACCACTTGCAGGAGCAGCAGACAGTAGCTGACCCGCACATCTTCTGGAGCGAGACCTGTCAGGACAGAGCTGCTCTTTGGTTTAAAATGCTACACGGCTGCTCTACACTAGGAACACGTTTTTTTTACCTGTTTTCTGTCAGTTCTGCAGTCAGGCTCTGAGGCCAGGTGCTTGGAGTACGGGAATGAGTCCGAATCAAAAGTAATCGTTAGTGTGCTAATTATAAAACATTACATTCCTACTATTTTTTTTAAAATTTTTTTTTTTTTCCTTCCACATGATTTATTACCAGAAATTTGTCTTCAACAGTTTTTTGGACTTAATCCTGGATTGTTTGGATGTCAGGAACTGTTTCCAAACTATTCTCAATTCACACATTATTGTCGTACTGTTGCTTATTTTTTTTCAGAGCAGAAGCTTGGCTGTATCAAAGTATTTCTCTCTTGCAACATTTGCTTTATTGCTCTATGTTTCATTTAAAACCAAACAACAACCTCTAGGATATTTTTTATTTTTGTGCAGGAAAATACTCTTTGCAGTGTTTTTTGCGTCAGAAAAATCACAGTACTACAATTTCTTCTCTCTGTTAAGCAGTGGTAGTGATTAAATTAGGAAGGCTTACACGAAAATGAATTATGCATCACATTGACACTTGCAGATTTCTTTTCTTCTGAAAAATGAGATCCATAAAAATCCAGGCATGCTATGTTCTGGTATAGAAACACCCTTTTATTTTTCTGTGTATGGTGTTTCAATTTGAACACTAAATCCTTCGGAGTAATTAGATTCCTCTAAGGTTTTTAGGAAGCCTGCTTGGGGACGCTTCTGAATTATCCATTTGATTCAGAAGATTAAGTTAATAATTCTACTGAAGCTTTGGTTCTGAAGTTAAGTGGTAACTAGAGTAGTCTGCAGTTAGGAGCCACGCAAAGTTTATAATGAGAGGAACTCTCGTTCGGTGCCGCATTGACTTGCCTACGGTCTCCTTATTTCTAGGACCATTTAGCAATTAGAAAAATTGTAAAAATTAAAAAAAAAAAAAATCTTCCTGGATGATTCTGCGGGGAGTTCAGACCCGTGCCTGCGTTCTGCAGAGCTGCCTCGGTAACCGATAACGCACGGTTGGGTTTGGACGTTGCTGCAGGATCGGTCCGAGCGGTGCGGGAGTCAGCGGGGGCTGCAGTCAGGGATAGCGATCTTTATTTCAACCTGAGGTGGTTTTGTGGAAGGGTGAAGCGACTGGGGCTGTGCGGGTGAGGACAGTGTCACCGTCCCCTCCCTTTCCTGCTCCGCAGGGCTGGCGAGGTGGCACCCCGCGCCGCGACCCCGCGCTGCCCAAGGCCGCCCTGTTTTGTGCTTCTAAATTGGGAAGGAGGCGAGTTCCTGTCAGAGGTTCCCAGAGCTTTCACTATCAGTCCTGCCGGAGTTAACACATTGTTCGAGTCACGTTAGGTCACATTCGTGCTTCCTGCCTGGTGTCCTGGCTCGTCAGCCGTTAAGCTCGGCTTAGCTCGGCTTCCTGTCAGCCTCCGTGCTCCGGGCTCTGTGGGCATTGCTGCCCAGCCCGTCCCGACAGCGCGGTCGCTCCTCCAGGTCGTCTTGTGGACAACCCAACAGTCCGTGCAGCTTTGGAGAAGGGGTTGACGAGGTAATAACCACCCTTTGTTAATTAGCCACTGGCATCCAGCTTAGGCCTAACGCAGAGAGGAGGATCTGCCAGCGTTCCGCCACGGCGGCTTCAGAGGTACCGGCACACCCGACGGGTCCTCCGTGGGAAGGAGGTGCTTTGCCAGCTGTATTTTTTTTAATGGCTGCTTGTCTTAAAACTCCATGCAAATTAAGGTTAAAACACATCGAGAGGAGGGAACGTGCCCCACGAGTCCATCCCTGCGCTGCAGTGACATTCTTCACTCTGCACCCACCAGAACTGGTGTGCTGGGTTTTGCATAATTCTGGACCTTGCTGTTCTTGCTTCCCGTGCGCTGCACACGCGGCGGAGCTGCAACTTCCTTCCTGTTCTATTGATGTTCCTTTTAAGCATCTGCTGCAGACGCTGCTGGAGGGCTGAAGGGCAGCAGCGGGAGGCAGGTCACCCCCCTGTCACCCCAGCCCTGCAGGGGGGTTCTGGGGGCGTGGGCAGGGTGTTACCAGCGTAGCTGCCTTTATCGTACAGGTGAGGAGAAAACTTTCCTTGGGGATTTCGTACGTGCTGTGACTCAGCTTCTCAGTCAGTGTTCCAGCAGCCGAACGTTCGCCGTGCAGTCGTGAGAAACAGCGCGTATCCTTTACACTTCATGGGAACAGCTTTATTTTTGTCTGAGCTGGCCTAAAGCTTGTTAGCTTTAATGTGTCTTTCATATAAGTCTAGTGCAAACTCAGGTGAATATTTTTGGAATATTTTTAGCTGCTGTACTCGCAGGTCTGTGGAAGACAGGGATGCTACCTGTGTTTTTTAAGCCTTTGGCTCTTCACAGCTTTTTGAATTTTTCTTTTGAAAAGAGAGAGCAAAAGCTAAGATCTCTAAACTGTAAGCGAAACATCAGTTTGTAGATTAGTACACAGATTTCTATAGAAAATTGTTATGAATATTGGCAAATACCATGGGAAGAGTATCACCTGTATTTTTAGCTTCTCTAAGCAGTACTTTGCCTCTTGCCTAAGATGAACTCTTTGCTCCTTTCCTTCTAGGACTGTCCTTTTATAGTGTGTATGACCTATGCCTTCCACACCCCTGACAAACTCTGTTTCATTCTGGACCTGATGAATGGTAAGCAAGGCTCATGTGGATGATGATGATAATAATATTACAGGAATATTGGCAAGAGGACTTGCTGAGATCATAAGGAGAATTAGGGAGAAATAATCTGAGGTGCGAAGCATCGGCCTGCAAGCAGGAGGGGTAAACTGATCTAAGCCAGGGAATGTATGAAGATCTCTGCTACCTTATAACATTAACATATGTAAATAAAGACATCAAAGGGCCTTCTAGGCTGGAAGCTTAAGGAAATGAGGGTCGTGTGGAGAAATGTATGAGATCAGGGACACAGCTTTCGGAATAAAAATTAAAGGGCTTCTATAAAGAGCTCTGCAAAGAAAATGGATGGGGGAAACATTCCACAAACGGAAAGAAATGACACCTAGAAGCCTTAGTGTAACTCCAGTGAGAACACAGAGCGCTTGGCCCTGTCAGAGGGAGCAGATACGGCAGTGCCCCTGTTTGCTGAGGGTGCTCAGCGCCTGGGGACTCCAGCTCCGGCTGTGGTCCTGCAGTGAGCACCTGAGGATGTTGGACACGTGCGTGTACCATGTGGCAAAGCTGGAAATTTAATTGGGAAATAGAGCTCGTATCCTGTAAGTAATAGAGACTGGCTGTGGTGTTTTGCAAGTGAAGATTCTCATTAAAATCGAAGCTGTAGGTCAGATTCCAGTAACGGGTTGATTATTTTACATCTCTGGCTTGATCAGAAACAGTTTTCTAGGCGTATGCCCAACCTGATCTCTTGATGGTGTGGATTAGCTCACAGAGTGACATTCTGTTGTGTCTGTTCTTTGATGGGGAAAGTGTGAAAACATGCCCAGCCATGGATATTAGAATGTTTTGGCCCAGGTGACCTTTCAAGGTCCCTCTCAACCTGGGCTGTTCCTTATGCTAATTCCTTCAGTTCTCCAGAAGCTGTGTATGTGACTGCATTTTACTGGCTGGGGAAGTCCTTTGCATCAAGACTCAGTTGCTGGATTAGTCACTGAATGCAAATGTATATGAAGCGAAATGTATCTTTAGAATGGAGTTATGGATGGATCAAATTTATTTATTAACTTTCTCAGGTATTTAGTCACCGTATGTACCTGCGGAGTGTGGGCCTGGCTCTCTGTGTGCTCCGCAGGCTACAAGAACCTACAGCTGCTCTGCTGTAACCCCACAACCTCCTGCTGTCTGCCTTTGAGACAGGATTTTATGTTTTTTTTTTAATTGCGTTTCAATTCTTCTAATTTTAGGAGGAGATTTGCACTACCACCTCTCCCAGCATGGAGTGTTTTCTGAAAAAGAAATGAGGTTTTATGCTACTGAGATCATCCTGGGTTTAGAACACATGCACAATCGCTTTGTTGTGTACAGAGACCTAAAGGTAACCCTTGACACGGCGACTGCGTCCGCACGGGTGGTTGTTAGACAGCAGCAAATCATCCAGACATACTGAGAGATGAATTCTCTTACCTGAAATCTTTTCTTGGGCAGAATACAGATTATTTCTTTTATCTTCGGCTGATTTTTCTAATGATTTTTTTCAAAATAGTTTTAATCTGTGCAGTTTAACCGACCTAGGAGATGCTTCTTTGGGGTCAGAGTAAATCCTGTGCAGCGTTACTCATCTCACTTGCCATCTTAATGATGCTGTTAATTTAGAGAGTGCACTGTATTACTGAGAGCCCCGAAAGAGGAGTGCGTGTGGTGGGAGACCAGCAGGAAAGCAGTTGCTCAGGGTGTTCCACTGACAGTTGGGAAGTTGAGGGCTGCCACAAGATAGGTGTCCACGAGCCACGTGATGGCAAAAGTGGGGAAAAAGTCTGCACAGAGAGCACAGTGGTAGCTGCAAATAGAGGGTGTTAGGGCCACACACAGACGCTCCTGGGTGTTAGAGCCACACACAGAGCTTCACTCAGAACTTCTGTGAAAGAAAAAGCGACGTGGACTTGAGGCCAGGACAGATTTATTCTGTCACGTGCCTTCTGTTTCAAACCTTGGCTGGTTTTCCTCTTCTGTTACTCTTCACTGTTTCATAACCTGTGGAGTTGATGATAATGCTGCGTTAGAATGGAGATTTTGTCTAGAAAGTGTCTGTTATACTGATGTGAAAAAAAAAAAAAGGAAGGCAATTACCAGTTACCACAGAGTATTGATGTCTGAGAATGGGTTACGGTGTTCTGAGGGTTTGTAGTTCTGTCCACTGAAGAGTACCAAGCAGTAACCTTTCTGTGTCTGTGGATCTCCAGCCTGCAAACATCTTGTTGGATGAACACGGGCATGTGAGGATATCAGACCTTGGGCTGGCTTGTGATTTTTCCAAAAAGAAGCCACATGCTAGCGTGTAAGTATTATGGATGGGAGCTTTGCTGCACGTACAGTTATTGCTAAATAAGTCCTTTAAGTGTCTTTATAATTTCTTTGCCTAAAGAAAAAAAAATAACACTTGTGCGGCACAGGCTCGCTTTATAACCCAGCTAATCTGGGTACTCTGATAAGGTTTTTCGTCTCCTCTCTCTGTTTTCCTGCACAGTTGTAGCAGCTGATGTGTAGGCATGGCTGGAAGATGACACATTATTTCAAGATGATTCACTGTTCGGAGAAGATAAGAACCTGTCTGAGTTAAAGCACCAGATTGCTTTAATTGTCCTAAACTGATAATTAAATATTCCAAAACTGACTGAAAAACAGGATTTATTGTGTCTCTCTGGATCTTTGTAGAACTGGAGGCAAATTGGATCCCTTTCTGCCTCTTGGCATCAGGTCATAACTGATCTGATTTTCTTGGGTTGTGTGCGGACTCCACGTCTGATGTGTTTTGTTCTGGGGTCCTCGTTTGCCCTGATGTAGTCTCAGAATTTATGCAAAAAGGAAAACTTCATCCTGTCACATCTTAAAAAGATGTGCAGTTGAGTAGCTCCTTGAAGGAGCTGGTGCTTCCCCGTTCCGCGGTGACCCCGGTGCAGCGGTGACCAGCGGCGGGCTCTGGGGGCCGCGTCCCGCTGGGAAACCTGTGCCCGGGGACACAGCGGGGAGCACAGGCCCCTCTGCTCGCCCTGGGGCTGGGCTTGTGGGGAGGAGCAGGTCTCGGCCGCGTGGCACCCAGGGCTGGAGTGATCTGCCTGGAGCCCTGACCGTGTCCTGGCGTCTGGCTTCTCCGTGAACCCAACGGGCAGAACACGCAGCCTTTGCGTCTTTTGCCCTGTACTGATTCTGCTGAATCTTGCTGTAGCTGCTTCAGTTTGCCTGATCAGTTCTGTTGTTTATGTTTTAAGGTATTTCCTCAGCAGATATACACAAAAACCCCACGCATCTGTATGTACGGCCAAAGAAAAAAGCAAAATCAAATCACATTTAAAATGAATTCTTTTAGAATTAAGACATCTTATTGAGAAAACAACGATTTTTAATTATTATTTGTTCTTTTCAGTAACAGTTTTGGTTGTAATCAAGTTTTTATCCCCTTTGCTTCTCAGAGGTACCCACGGCTACATGGCTCCCGAGGTGCTCCAGAAGGGAACAGCCTACGACAGCAGTGCAGACTGGTTCTCCTTAGGCTGCATGCTTTTCAAACTGCTACGAGGGTGAGTGAAGTTTCATGTCCTGGGTGCTTTTATTTTTTTTTTTTTTTTTTTTTTTTTTTTTAGCTCTGCAACTTAGACCATGTCTGCCCGTGAGACTAAAACAGTTTTTTTTTTTTTTCTTCCAAAACAAACCAAGCACAAGCCCTGCTTCCTGTAGCAGGTGCAGGTGAGGGGCAGAGGAGGGCAGATGCTCTGTCTGCTCTTTTGACTTCTACTGATAGGCAATTTACTCATCTCTTGGCAAGTGTTAGTATTTTAAATAATGTGGTGTTATTCATTGCTTAAATACGCGAGCAGCCCTGTTAAATTATGGGCTTCCTTTTATGCTTAAGACTCTTTGCTGCGCTCTTCCCTTTTTACACGACACTGAATCTTCCCTGCAGTGCTCTTTGGGTAAGTTACAACGTGTGGATGCTTCCATTTGCTGTGTCTGGCCTGTTACTGTGTTGGTGTGCGAAAGTATATGATAATTACAGCTTTGTCAACTGTTGCCTTCTCCATAAACTTCTGTGGTTATGTGGAATTTATTAAGACTACAGGATTTATCTGAACAGTCAATAAGCACTGACTGGCAACTGTTTGTTGAAAATAGCATCCTCAGTGTTAATGGCAAAACAAAACAAAACAAATCTTTTGAGCTTTGCAGTGTGTTTCTCTGTAAAGATTGGTCATTAGTCACCTGTGTCCTCACACATAATCATAAACTCTTACCTCTGTCCCAGACACTGTACAAAGGAAGGTAAGTGTCTGAATTCGGAGTTGGAATCAGCTGTATCCGTTTAGCATCAGTCGTTCACTGATAGACATAGTGGGCAAATAAAGGAAGAAGTGGTGTTTAAATTGAAAAAAAGGAAAAGTATTCCTAAGTACAGCCAGCCTCCTGCAGCTGGGAGCAGCACCCTGTCTCTCAGCTGAAGAATTCTGTAGGTATTAGCAAGACAGAACGGTTTGGGGTTGCTGGGAGGAGAGAGGAGTGCATCGCGTCTTTCACACGCAGACCACTGGATTCCTCATCTTTTCTTCCGAGTCCCTTGGGCACAGAGGATTAGGGCATCTGGCTGACTCTGGCTTCGTGGTTCTTCCTTCGTGAGGTTGAAGTTGTGTGATGAAGGAACTTGGGGCAAATGCTCCCATTTCCCACGGCAGGCCGCGGGGCGGGGAGGTCGCGGTCTCGGGGCTGTGATTCTCCCTGAGATGAGCAGGTTGGTGGCGGTGGCCAGAACCCGAAGCATTGCTCATTGTGAACCATCCGGCCTCATCTGTTCTGAAGCCAAGCAAACAACTCGCACCCCAAAACAAGGGGAGGGCACATGGTGCCATTTCTTGGTATTTAGTAGCTTTAGTCCGGCTTCAAATCTGCCCATAAGCCCCTGGTGAGTCATTTCCTTCCCTGATCTAGTCAGAGCCTCATTGTCAAGGTATCTGAGGCCGTACAGTGGCCATTTACTCTTGCCCTCTTATCCATCATACTTAAAACCAGAATGGATGTGCTGGTCTGTCCATCAGATCCGTTCATCAGAAACATTTTTTGAGGATAAAAGGGAAATAACTCTTGAGTAGCAGGTCCCCAGTCGAAACAAGCTAGTACACGCTGCCATGTGGCAAGACAAAATGCTTTATAATAGCTAATTAATGTCTCGTAAGGAAATAACATTTTAATTTTGAAATAGATCATTCCCTCGAGGCTTCGAAGAAAACTTAAGAAATGAGGAATATATCCTAAATCTAATTAAAAAAAAATCTCATGCTAAAACGTTTCTACTTTCTTTCATGCCGTTGTTTAAGTACTGCATGGGAAATCTGTAATATTCTAAAGTCCTCTGTAGTTAAAAGGAAAAATTCAAACTCAAACCAGAATTATAAAGCAGGAAAGGGATAAAGCTGTTAATTCACCAGATATGATCAAATATCCTCCCAGTCACTGATGCTGTGGCATCTGATTACCCTTCTGTCTCACTGAATTACTTTTAAGGTCTCGCTTTGTTCTTCCCATATAAATGAGTGGAAAGTTCTGTAGGTCGTACTCAGTTCCCATATATAGCTCAGTGTTTTTAAATACCTGAGCTGTGATGAGAGCTCAGGGTGTTCCTGTTAGATGAAACTGCTCTGGGTTTGGGGAGACGCAGAGGTAACTGGAAAGGCATCTGAAACCCCGACTTTCAGGATGGATCACTGCGTTTAAGTAATCTTCTAAACTGACCTTCTGCGTGCCTTTGTATGGAGGAACTGGATCGGATTTCCCTGAGTTTGAGAGTCCTCAGGGATGTCTGTGTGCAGTCTTGAAAGAAGTGGGATGGTTGCTTTTCTCTGCGTTTGATTTTGATGTCCACCGTGTGCGATTGTACTGAAACCCAAAAGGATAAACTTTCTTGCAAAGTAGTCCAGCTCTTTGTAGTAAGAAAAGAAATCAAAGTTGTTAGAGAGCAAACCTTGACGTTTTTGAGGCAGCTAGTAGCCACAGTACACTGGGGTGCAAAGTCTCATTTTTCATTGCAAATGCTGAATGTTTTACTGCTTGTTTTATTGTTCTGCAGGACAGGATTGATGAGGTGGAAGAATGGGACTAAAAGGATGCTACGCTTTCCTGGGGTTGCCACAGCTGAAATAACCTGATATGTTATGGCTTTACATTTATTAGTGCGTTTTCTTATTTCTGCAGTCACAGTCCTTTCAGACAGCACAAAACCAAAGATAAGCATGAGATCGACCGGATGACGCTCACCGTGGTAAGGATCCCGGTGACGGTTGCAGTTACATTCCTCGTGTTCGGTAGTTCAGTAAACTCCCATTTCCTCTGAAGAGCGGAGCCCTGGAGCCTGCTCTCTGAGAAGGCTGTATTTACCCATGGAAGGGTTGTTTACAAACGCTACCAAAGAAAAGCAGCTCTCCTGTGTGGGGAAAGCAGATCACACTGCTTCTATAATTAAATGTCTCTCTTTGGACTTTTTTTTTTTTTTTTTCATAGAATGTGGAGCTACCAGATTCGTTTTCTCCTGAGCTGAAGTCCCTCTTGGAAGGGCTCCTGCAGCGGGATGTTAGCAAGAGGCTCGGATGCCAAGGAAGAAGGTAGGTGTTGTCTTCTCCTTGGACCGCTGCCTTTAAAAATTGCCACTTCTCTGTAAATGAATGAATTCATTTCAAGTAAAAATCTGTTTCCTGTTGGTGATGATTTTAATTTTGGAAAGAGAGAACATCAGAAAGTGCTTGTTGCATGGAATTATGTCTCGGCTTCCTTTGGTTTGGACAAACTTTTGGACAATTTCTGTCATTAAAGGCTGCCCCGAGTTCTCTGCAGTCATGCTGACGTTGGGTGGTGGGCATGCTTTTCACTGCCGTGTTGTTCTTAGGGTTTTGCCTGATCTGTTTTGGCGTGCAGTCATATTACTTGACTCAGGCATACTGACAGCTAGAATTTACTGCCTATATTGTATCTGTAATGATACGAGCATATTGCACGCAAAAAAAAACCCCAACCAACCAATCCCAAAACCCCCGAGGACAGAACGCCGTGAATTCTTGTTTCATTTTGAGTTGCCTCTCTTTCCAGATGTACCCGTTTCATTCATGAGTCTAAGGAAAATGGCATTTTTTTTGTTTATTGACTACAAAACACTGCTTGCCTCCTGCCAAGCCTCCCTTGCTGATAGCTGTTAAGTGAAATTGTTGTTATCACCTATTTCAAAAGCCAGTGTGTGCCTCCTGTGAGACGAGGAGTAAATAACTGTTGAGAAACCGCTGGGGAAGTGTGGTAACTGTTAATTGATGGTCACACCTGAGACGGGCGCTGGCTCTAATTTCAGTGAGAGATTCCAAGGGCTTTTTATCATGGAGCCCTCTGGGATAATGACCCGAGATTGCTTTTCAGCCTTGGGCCTACCAAGAGTAGTTGCTTTTTTTTTTTTTTTTTTTTTTTTTTTTTTTCCGTAGGAGATGTATGACATGAAATGCTGTGCAGTAAGCTGTAGCTTAGGAGTAGTGTAGGGGATCTGACAACAGATGAGTGGTGGTTGTTGCTTGAAATGATGGACTGCCGTGGCAAAACAAGAGCCCTTGCCAGGCCTACAGCACTATTTCTAGTGTTTCCACATGGAAGTCTTCTCTTCTGTTGTTTACTTAGGAAGACTTTTTTTTTTTTTTTTTTTTCCCTTTGGAAAAAAAAGCTCGTTTTACCAATGTTTTCAAGTGACAGAAATGTGACCTTTGAAAGCTTTCTGTCTCTCAAATCCCTTTGAAAAGCCCCTTCATGTTGTTGACTTCAGTTACTTTTATTTTGCAGTGCACAAGAAGTAAAAGAACATCCTTTCTTCAAAGGCATTGATTGGCAGCAGGTCTATTTACAAAAGGTAAAGGATTAATGTAGTGACCTCAGTTTACTTGGTAGAGCGGTAGAAGGAGAATAAACCTCAACAGGTAACGGACAGAAAGCTTCAGGCTTCCAGGCCCAGCACTTGTATGCACTTGCACGAATACGTGGAGGATTGTGGTGAAAACTGCCATATATTCGTTACTACGAGTCTTCCTGACCAGTAGTACTGAACTGTTACTTTTTCAGGGTCAAATGACTGCATGGTTTTCTCTACTTAGCTGTCTCTAAACTGTAGGGGTTTTTCCCCAGATTTTTTGGAGGAGCATTTATTAAAGGCGTAGAAAACAACTTTACACTGAGGTTGAATTTCAAGGGACGTGCTTTCGCACTGTCATGTGTGGTGTGTGTGCAAAAAGTAAAAAGGCCGTATGTGTCTGCACAGTGGATTTAAATAATCTCCATTAATTTTTCCTTTAATTATGCTGCTTTTAATTTCTAGTATCCTCCACCGTTGATTCCTCCTCGGGGAGAAGTAAATGCAGCAGATGCTTTTGATATTGGGTCGTTTGACGAAGAGGACACTAAAGGCATTAAGGTACCCAACTTTAATTGCGAGGTGGGGAATGGCACTGCGGGTGCCGTGCTTCACTTTTCATCTGTGCGTGCTGTTCCTTTGCTCCAGGGGCTACTGGGTGTGCAAGGAATTGCTTTCAAGTTTGGAAACTTAATCCTTGCTCTTACGGAAGAGGTAGCTTGGGCTGGTTGGCCAGTTTGTTGTTGCTTGCCAAGTCCTTATTTTTAATATATTTCTTTTTAGATTGACTAAAAAGATCTACCTTCCTATCTAAAATTTGATATGATAAAGCAAATATTTCAAATGGTCAGACAACTTTGGGGAAATCCTCAGATTTTTTAAGAATACTTAATGGTTTGTAGTTTTAAAAATCATAATTTGTTTCTGGCGGTTTAGATAAATTGAGCTAAACCTTATTTTAATGTGGTCAGAGGGTGCAGTGGAAAACTCTTAAAACCAACAAACTTATATATTAATGGTAGCAACTTGATAAGTTAGAAGAGCGATACCAGAACCTGAAAGTTTCTTTTATTATCCAAAATCTAACGAGAAGTTAAAGCTGCTGGCCCGTTTCTGACGTGCACAGAGGTGGTGTGACGTTCCCTGCGTTTCATCCCCTCTTCTGAAGCTTCCCTGGCACTTTGAGACAATAGGTGAATCAGTGCTTGTCTCGGGTCTGTCCCGTTCATTATTTTTATCCTACATTTCTTCAGTAGATCGAACTTCGTTCTTGTTATTACAGAAGTGAGTCAGGAGAGAAACTAATTGCTCTAAACTTTATAAGCAAAAAAACATGTTAAGTACTCACTGTGCCTGAAAAGGAACTTGTCTGTCAGTGTCACCTGCTGTAATTACAGAAGTTGGCACAGAAAAGATTTTACGTGTTTAAAGAGAAATGCAGAGAACCCAAGATGTTCTTTTATCCCAGAAGACTCCGCGTCTTCAGCATCAGCGTTAGTCTATCAGGATTCCAGTTTCCTGCGATTCTGGAATGTCATAATTCGGAGGAGCGTTTTGCAAGGAGAAACCAGGTGGTCTTTTTATTTATCGAGGGGATCGGATACTCTCGGCAAGGCCTGTGAACCGTCTGGCCAGATCGCCTCCACGCAATCTTTGTTCAGGCTGCCTATAAGATAAATTTATTCTTAGTCATGAGTCAGTGAGGGATATCATGTACAGCTTCTTTGCTCTGCACTTTCACTGGGATGTCACAGTCTTTTAGAAGGGACTGAATAATTCATGCCTCTGAGTCAGCTGCACTTGGAGCTTCCATTAAGGTGTCAGGAGCGTCCCTGCCCGGGAGACGCCAGTTGTGAGCACCTTGCTCTCCTCCCTGCCCCTGCTGGTTGTATTTACACTGCGGAGTGTGCTGTGACACTGAGCAGAACCCGTGCAGTCCAGTGGGCTGAAGGAGGCCACTTGGGCTGGCTCTCCGAGAGAAAAGTCTGCATTCTCAACTGATTAACAGACACTGAAGCAACTGAGGAGTGGCTGCAGAGAGTTTAAACTCCTCCCCGAATGAAAATCTTTAATAAAATTACAGGGAAGACACTGATCGCTTTTTTTGTGCTGCATCAAAGTGCCTTGTGGCTAAACCCAGCCTAGGGCTGTGCCAAGCAGCACACAGTCCTCCCTGAAGATGCAGCAATTCTAGCTGCCTTCAGCGTAATTCAGTTCAAGGGCTGTCGTTTGAGGATTGGGGGAGAAAAGAATCTAACAGGAAAATTGAGGTCTGCAGGAATTTTGAAGGTTAATTATTAAGAACGTAAGGTTAAGCTGTGGAAGCATGGAAGGCGTTGCTGTGTAAAAGGTGTCTTTTCATTTGTTCGTGGGATTTTTGTTTTTAACACAATTAGACATTTTATTAACACTGATTATGCAAGAAAGTTAGGAAAACTCGCTGCTTATGTTGAATTATTTAAATGTGAAGTCTGGAGAATGCTATGGGACAATGTTGAGTAAGGCTTTGAGAGCTGTCAGACCAAGTTTTGAAGAGGTAGCCTGTCCTCTGTATATCAATGAATCTTTTTGCTTAAATTAGTATCTGTGTTTTCTCTTGTTTGCACCTCTCTGTTCTGGTAAGGTTAGAGTTCAATACACCTTTTTAAATAATACTGTTATATGGGTAGCTATGAACTATTGGGGATAAGAATAGTAGAAGTTATTAAAATGTTGGGTTTTTGTGTTGTTTTTCTCTTGCAAGTTGCTTGATAGTGACCAGGAGTTATATAAGAACTTCCCTCTGGTAATATCGGAGCGTTGGCAGCAAGAAGTAGCAGAAACTGTTTATGATGCAGTAAATGCAGACACAGATAAAATTGAGGCCAGAAAAAGGGCTAAAAATAAGCAGCTTGGCCACGAGGAAGGTAATCTGTCAAATACACTTCTCTCCATCTTTTGCTGCTAGATAGTAATTCATGTGTTTGAAGTTTCACACAACAAACTCTCATATTACTGTCATTCACCAGTAATTGTCAGAATTCATTTAGTCAGTATCGTGTTTCTTAAGAGGTTTCTTAATGTTTTGAAATGCTGCATGACGGCATAATGTTTTGGAAAAATCTTTTGTACTCTCTTTTAAAGATTATCATGCACAGCCTTTCATCTTTGTTTTTTTTGTTTTGTTTTGTTTTGTTTGTGGTGTGTGCTCAGAAAAGGGTACGTGGGATTTGATTTCATGACAAAGACGCCAAGAAAGAAACCGGGAGGCCCCGCACAGCAAACTCCTGTTTGCACGGGGGCGTTGCGTCGCAAACTCTGAGCTTGGGGCAGCAGCGTGCAGTTCTTTTAATAGCTGATAAGATACTTCTTAAAGCACCAAATTCTGTTGTTGGTGACTGCGCTGCAGCCGCATCGGCTGGTGTAGTGGTGCCGCGCTGGGCTCCGGGTGTGCC